GGAGGAAGGCAGAGGAATAACTGTCTGCATGAGTGGCAGGTAAAAGAAAGAAAACACTCTGGGAGGCCAGAGGAAAGAATGAAAGCGTGCCTGGTCCCGGCACCTGGAGCGGCTTCCTGGCAGGACGAAGCAGCCTTTGCTGTTGCTTTTTTAGGTGTTTCGGCAGATGGGGTGTTGGCAGAAGATGGTTAGACCAGGAGTAGGGAACACCCAAAACAAGGTGAGAGGGGCCGGGGTTGCTACCTGGGGCTTCCCCAGTGGAAGGGTTGGACGTCGAGGTTTATAGATGTCAGAAAGACCCCTCGGGTCCCGCCCATCAAATGCTGCTTCTCACTACCCGAGGGCGAGTGACACTCGGGCACCTAAGGCTCAGCTCCTCTGTGCACACCTCCCTGGCCACACGGAGCCTCTTGGGGACGCCACGGCAGGCACTGTTTGTGTGATTCACTCAGCAGCCGTCGGGAAGCCCATCTTGGAGCCCGCAGGGCACAGCTCCTGCCTTGGGGTCCTATCGTTCCATCCGGGTTACCAGCATCACCTGGAAGCCATGGCTGACACACCTTTCACTGTCCCAGGCCCCGTGGCTGGTCCTACACTTTGGGGGCTCCCTCAGTCGGCCTGTGCCTCGAAATGCTTTTGTTTTGAAAAACTGATCAGAACGTTTTAGAAACAGCACATGCTTCCTACGCTTAGAGAAAAGCAGTCTGATTCTGCTTTTCAGATCAGTCTTGAGGCTCGTTCTCCCAGGACCCCATCCCATGAGATCCAGTGAGTTACATATTTGATGAACCAACGACAGATGCGCCTTTGACTTAATGTGTCCTGTTTGACTTAATGGTATTTACCCAGCAAATATTACTGTATTCCCCCTTCAGTAAACAGAGCATTTAATTCGTACGTTGCACAATAAAGGTACATGCCTGGGAATTCTGCACGTAAGACCTGGTGAAACTCTCAAGCCTGCCGTTTAGTTCACGTCTCTGCAGCAGTGTCCGTGTCCCGGTTTTGCTGACATACCGCGGTCGCTCGTGTAAGAGGTTATCAGTGGGGGAAGCAGGGTGAGGAGTGCGTGGGGACGGTCTGTACTTTTCTTGCAGATTCTTGTGAGTCTTCGATTATTTCAAAATAAAAAATGAAAAGTTGGTTGTTTTCTTTTTAAAAGCAAGACAGGGTCAAAGAGATCATCTAGTCCAGTTGTTTTCAAATTTTTCTTTTAGCAGCAGCCTCCCTCTCCCACCCTCATCCCACGGGACGTCCCAACACCTCTGTCGGGCTCCCCAAAATCCCACGGGAAAGGTCCCGATCCAACCAGCACCCTCGGGGTCCAGATGAGGAAGTTGGGGCCCAAAGAAGTTACTGGCTATTGGTGGAAAATCGGAGATCCGGGAAGTTTGCTTTTTAGAGCAGTTGCTCTCTGCAAATCTCCATTAAGTCACAGCCCTTCGGCTGACACTGGTTTCTCTTGTCAGACGGGGTGAGATCAGACCAGGAAGAGCATCCGTGCTCCTGAGTGTATTTCTGCGCTGCAGGAGGTGGTCGCGGCCACTCGCCGTGATGCCGGGGCAGGTTGGATGGGCAGGTTGTCTCACAGGCGCTGCCCTGGAGGGCGAGTCCAGGGCGGAGGGGAAGGACTCAGGGCCACAGACAGAGTCCTGTGCCTTCTTGCCAACGTGGCCTCCCCTCCAGCCGCCTGTGGGCACCGGAGCCCGTTAGCTTTCTCCTCCCTCCCCTTGCGAGCCCGGGTCCCTAAGGTATTGCTGGGAAACCTTTGACACCTTGGAGTTTATGACGATGACGTTATTGTTGGAAGTAATCTTCTCTTGCCTTCATCCAGGGATTTTTCAGGCTGCAAAGCCCCTTCTCACATGTTCCCTCACCCTCACCCTCACCCCCCGGCTAGGACATTGGCAGACTAGGTTTATTTCTGCTCTGTAAAGAAATGGCATGACTTTTCCAAGGCTGCTGAGTTTGTGTCAAGGTGGAGTCAGAGCACAGGTCTCCAGAATCCTGGTAAAGGCCCTTTTTATAGGAGAGATGATGGTTTTCATAAAGCTCCCGCACACAGGGATGGCCCGCAAGCAGGTGGTGTGTTTGTGTTGTTATTGTCATCGTCACCGTGGGCACCGTCCTTGGCACAGTTTTACGGTGTAAAGACTCCACGACCCTGGTCCCTTCTCCAGCCGCATCCAGGAGGGGCAGCTCTCTTCCTGCGCCTCCAAAGGTGAGAGCCCGAAGGCGCCGCGCGGGCTTGGACGAGTAAGCCTTAGGTCCTCCCGAAAAGTGAAGCAAGTTCCCCGTGTGCCACGTCAACAGAGATCGATGTGACAGCCAACTGGCAGGACAGCTGCCCTGGGACCGCCTGGTGCGCCCAGGCTCCGGGGGCTGTGTGGGAGCTGCCACGCTGGATTTATTTCACGCCGATGGTTGATGCTGTCCTCCTGCAGGGAGAACAGGCTGTCCTTCCCCGCCGGCCTCCTTTTTGCCCTCCATGTGGTAGGACACAACCTTTACTATCTGCACTGGGAACTTTTAATTGGTACTGACACCAGCCTGTGCCCTTGACATTTTGCCCAGCGTCCTGGGATATTGGGGAAATTGGTGGAAGGCTTAAGCCCGCACTTCAGACCACGTTCACAGCTGCTAATGGCTGGAAAAGTTACCTCCCAAGGAAGGTGTGGATTTTTCTCAGCCCAAGAGGCATTTCCAAAGTAAACCAGTGACCTGTGCCAATCATTTACGCACGTAGGCACCTGGCACCCGTTAAGCACTTACTAAATATTTGTGGAGGATCCTTCTAAAGCAGTGGTTCTTCGTCTTCGTGCACCTGCCAATGTCAGGCTCGCCTGCAGGGCGTGTTGAGGCCTCCTCCACCGAGTCTGATTCAGTTGGTCTGGGGAAGGGCTAAATGATTTCATTTCTAACAAGTTTCAGGTGATGCTGGTGCCGTGT